GCAGGTCCAATTCTAGCAACCTAATGTCGCTCTTATGGGATTAACCTATTTAATTGAAAAGTCCTTCCTCCTGGGGGTCTCTGCAGTGCAAGGTTAAATGAGGCACTTGTGACAGGCAGGGATGCAAAACTGTAGCCTTGACTTCCAGTTGGATTGATGTGTTTTGACTTGTTTCCATACAGTAGCATTTAGTAAAATAGTTGCGTTTGGTAGAAAATTTAAATTGCCATGGCAAACTTAAGCCTCAAAAGCCATGTTAAGACTATAGCTCATGTGAAAAGTGAGACCTATCTGTCCGAGTGCTCTGATTGGTTGGCTTACTCCTATCCAGTCTCTAGGCACCTGATATATGACCTTTATAATTCCAAACCTGGTAAAAGGGCATTTTTTTTATACAATAACTGTAATATTTATTATAAAAACAAACTATCTAATCCTCCATGGTTATGCCTTCAGATAGTCTAGGTAGGATAACTGTGCCAGGTTAAATGACATAATCCCTTTTACAGAGAAGTGCCTATCTTATCTTAACTCTACTCCATCTTTGTTAAATTGCTTGATTCAATAAGGCTTTTGGAATACATTTTTTTATTAGGTCAATGCATGTCGGAGTGCATTCATATAAAATGAAAAAGGATCAGCTCTTGTCTAATTTGAAAGATGTTTTATTGCCGATTTGAAATTTCGGGGTTTGTTAAGGTTCAGTGGATGACAGGCGGTACTACGTTCAATGACGGCTAAAATGATTTGGTATGTCTTGATACGATTAGGGAAATTATTTAAAAAGATTATGGAAAACGCACCATTTATAGGGCTTGCTAACACAATAGGTGTGAATGATAGAAAGGCTTGAAAAGAAAATGGAATATGAAGGAAGTGTGAGGGTACACACTGTTCTAGGGAAAGAACAGTTAAGAACAGGTTGTAGAGAGTAGGTTGGGGAACATAAACCACCAATAGGGAAAGAGATCTAGTAGACCAAGCAGATTTCTTTCGCAAGGGTCATTTTACCTAAGCACTGCGTGTTCTCTTGCATGTAAGGGTTATAAACTAGACATGAAATGAGCTGCCATATTAAGATGTCATACCTAACATAAGTTCCCATTGAAAACAGACAGCATTGGGTAATATGTCTGAAATGTATATACTTGATAAAAAGAATGCAGACATAGATATTTAACGTATACACATTCATATAAACTATTTTAAACAAGATTTATCCAAGATTATGCCATAAAAATGTATCAATTCTCGGCCTTCGGTTATAAAGCTTTAGAAGTATGAATCTCTTGTACCAGTTGGCAATCTGTTTGGAGATCATTGCTGGTTTTGTATTCTATCGCCATCTGCTGTTGAAAAAATACATCTACCACTCCCTTCGATAAGCAAATCACATGCCTCCTGACTGTGTATATAAAGCATAGGGCACAAGTCATTTAATAGTTAGATGAACATTTAAAATCCCACACTCATGGATGAACTTAACGTTTTGGTCCCTAATTCTAATACTAAAGTCTGGGATATATGGTCAAAGCTTTGGAAATAGTATGCTTTGAAGGGTAAAACTAAATTGGAGTCTGTTTTTGCTCATGTAGACTTTGCCTCTATTGTGTAATTTTTTTCTCTCTCTATCTTCTTAATAGGGCTTATTGCCCTTACAGTATGTGTTCATGAAAAATTTAAAAACTCTGAACTATGACTGGGAACCTCAAATACATACCTCAAGTACATTTTATATGCTTACCCACTGATGCCTCTATACATGTTGTACGGAATCTCTTATGTTTGCACAGTCTTGGCTAAATAAGGTATTTAATAAATGTTTTTACTACCTTGCATACTGCTGTAAAGCACTAATGGTGTTTTCCAAAAGATCACTCATTATGGACTTTAATTTGTCAAAACACCTTGCATAATATGTGTCACAACTGTCATGCATTCATTCGCAATTATAACCATATCTGTTTCAGTCTCCAGGCTACAGTGGAGGTGTATAGTGGTTATAATTCTAGGAGTACCTAGAATTATGTGCATGTTATACTGAAAAGCTGCAGATAGAGAGTATTTGCACCATGACCACTTCTTATGGTGTGAAGAGTAAACCATCAATCTCTAATGTTATAAATGCTACCTTGGTATCCAGTCTGTCTCAACAGGCCCACCTTTTCTCCTTACCTGATATTTCTAGATATTTTTTTTACAACGATGAACTAGCTATTTGGTCGTATGGTACATGGAATTGCTAATCTGACTGTCTCCGCTGATTCATTCACTATGCTCTTTTAACTTGTGTTATTGAATGTTACTTTTAATTCTATGTATCAAATACACTTTTCAAATGATCACACTTTGTTAAAAACATTTTTTTAAATGATTTATCTACATAAATCCACATAAACGTCAATGGTGACCTCTATAGATAAATCATTTAAAAAGCTTTTCTCACAAATTGTGATCATTTGAAAAGTGTATCCTAAAGAACTACATCGAGGCTTTAGTGGGAACAGCCTGACATTGTTTGGTAAAATGCCAGATGATAAATTGATATGAGTTATAAGCATCAGTCTTATTTTAACATTTATAATGGTCTATTGGGATGCTGTCCAAGGTCCTGAAAGGTAAGAAATTTCAAGCTTCTTAAATTGAAACACCTGTTGTGTATCACTGTATGAACTGGATTAACACCTTAAGGACTGGACTGTTTTTGCGATGTTGTACATTTGCGACCAGGCCTCTTTTTACACTTTTGTGGTGTTTGTGTTTAGCTGTAATTTTCCGCTCTCTCATTAACTGTTCCCATACAAATTATATATTGTTTTTTTCAGGACAAAAAGGGCTTTCTTTACATACCATTATTTATATAATCTCATGTAATTTAATTTAAAAAATATGATGCAAAGTTGAAAAAATACATGTTTTTTTACTTTTACTTGAAAAATCTTTTACTCATCTACAAAAGATAATGAGAACAATTGCTAAATAGATTCGAAATTTTGTCCTGAGTTTAAAAATACCCAGTGTTTACATGCTTTTTTTTTGCAAGTTATAGGGCTATAAGTACAAGTAGGATATTGCAGTTTCAAAACATACATTTTTAAAATTTATCAGTAGTGACATTGTAACACTATTATCTGTCATAAATCTCTAGAAAACACCCCACATGTATATATTTTTTTTTAAAGTAGACAACCCAGGGTATTCACATAAGGATATTTTGCCACTTTCTATGCAGCCATTTTACCACTAGTCTTTGCCAAACTTCACATAGGTAGTTTCTATTTTTTTGTTTTTTCACATACATTGCAATTCAGGTATAAACTCACAGATCCTGTTATGTGTTGCTGCCAAAAAACACACTAATATATGTTCAGCAACATTTCCCGAGTACAGTGATACCACCCATGCACAGGCTTGTCGGGTTGTTTGGGGGCTAAAAGGCCACATTTGGCAGGTGCGCATATCCATTTTTCAACTTGGAATTTTGACATGTAGACAACCTGCACACATGTCCTATTTGGGACATTTATAAGGCCAACCAATGTATTTTACCCCCACCAAACCATATATTTTTGGAAAGTAGACACCCTAGGGCAGTGATGGCAAACCTATGGCACGCGTGCCCTCTCTGTGGCACGCGGCCATAGCTCGACAGGCGCCTACTCTGCTTCCGTCTCGGGAGGACAGGGGGAGGGATCTGAGAAGCAGCTCTCCCGTCCTCCCGTGAGCAATCAGTGTGGAGCATTGCCGTGCGTTACCATGGCAACGCTCCACACAGCATTGGGCGGGTGGGAGGACGGGAGAGCTGCAGGACCTGTCCCTCTTACCACCACCCGACCACCAGGGATTTATGTGTCCCCTTCTCCTTCACATAAGGTAAGCAGAAGGGAGGGGGGGATACAGATTGTAATAATATATTTGCTCCCACCAACACACACACAGCAGCCCCCCCCACACACACAGCACCCCTCTCATACAGAGCACCCAGCAGCTCCCCCCCACACACACACAGCACTCCTTTCACACAGAGCAACAGAGCACCCAGCACCCCCACACACACACACACACACAACACCCCTTCACACACACAAGACCCCCCACACACACACAGCACCCACACACACACACAGCACCCCACACACACACAGCACCCTTCACATGCAGCACCCCCCACACACACAAAGCACCCCCACACACACACAAACACCCCTCCTCGCACAGAGCACCCAGACCCCCCACACACAACACCCTCACACATACAGCACCTGCCACACACAGCACCCCTCACACACAGCCCCTCACACAGAGCACCCAGCACCTCCCACACACATACAGCACTCCCCACACACACACACAGCACCCTCTCACACACAGCACCCCTCTCACACACAGCACCCCCATACACACACACACCCCCTCACACACACACAACACCCCCTCACACACACAACACCCCCTCACACACAGCACAGCACCCCTCTCGCACACACAGCACCCCTCATACACAGCACTCCACACACACTCTGCACCCATACACACAAACACATACACTGCACCCCTAAATGCAGCATGTTTGTGTGTATGTATTCAGTAGTTTGTGTGTACTCGGCAGTCTGTCTGTACTCAGCATTCTGTCTGTGTGTGTGTATTCAGCAGTCTGTCTGTATGTGTATTCAGCAGTGTGTGTATTCAGCAGTCTTTATGTATTGAGCAGTCTGTGTGTATGTTTGTGTGTGCTTGTTGTGATCCTTGTCTCCAGATAGCACGGTCCTCTAGGGTAATCAACAGACACTGTCCTTTTATTTGCATATAATCCAGGCACTTTATTTGTAAGTCCACACAGGAGACAGCAGCAAATTAAAACATAAATATAACACAAATCCCTATAAACAAAAACCTAGCTCGTCTGAGCACTTACTAACTTCAGGTTCCCTATCTCTCAGGGGTTAAACTAGAACAAAATAATATTGGTTTCACCAACCTAGTGTCTTTGTCAGTTGTCTGCACTCCAGGGCTTAGTCAGCCTGTTGCTTTCCTTTCTACACTCCCAGTGCTCCAAGCCAGCCTTAACTGCTTTCCTTTCTGCACTCCCAGTGCTCCAAGCCAACCTTAACTCCTTTCCTTTCTGCACTCCCAGTGCTCCAAGCCAGCCTTGACTGCTTCCTTCTGCGCTCCCAGTGCTCCAAGCCAGCCTTGACTGCTTTCCTTCTGCACTCCCAGTGCTCAGTCTCCTTGACTCTCTCACTGGAGAGAACAGCCTCTCTCCTACCTGCTTCCAGGGAGGAAGCCAGCAATCACCCTTTACCTGCCTAGCAGGGAGGGTTTTATTCCCACTGCTACAGCTGATTATCTGCAGCTGAGCAGTGGGTTGGAGACAGTTCCAAAAAACTCTGGCCTGGACCTGATTTCTCCCAGTTGTGTATAACCTGAGGAGTGGAACATTGCTCTCCAAATGCTCCACCCCATGGGCCCATAACTAAACATTGGTTTGTGTTGCCTACAACACATACTACACATACTCCCCCTGGGGTTAAATGTTAAATGTTATAGGCCTATCTGTCTTCACTTTATCACAGTGTATGCAGCTTTCTGTGTGCATGTATTCAGCGGACTGTGTGTGTGTCGGTGTGTATGTATTCAGCAGTCTGTGTGTATGTATCTTATGTATGTATTGCATTTGTTGGAGATATTAATAAATATAATAATGTTGTTAAGGTGGCACTGGTGGGTGGGTGGGATGGAGGGCTGCGAGGGAGCACCGACTTACGTGCAGTTACAGCACCGCCCCCTCCATTGATGCCGCTGGGAGACATGAATGACGTCAATCGGGCGCCGCCGCCTCATTGACGTAATTTTCCTGTTTTTCCGGCAGCATCAGCAGAGGGAGCAGTGCTGGAAAAGCACGTAAGTCAGTGCTCCCTCGCGCCCACACCCACTTACAGCAGCGGGAAGGAGGTAGGGAGCCTGGGAGGACTTCAAACTCCCACCGGCACCAAAAAAAAAAAATTATTTATGTACTGGTAGGGAGAGGGGGATATACTGGGGGAGGGGGGATATGCCTCGGACAGTGACGTCTGACATGCTTTCGTCATGGATGGTTGTTAGTATATTAACATCCTTCCTGTCATTAAATTTTATTGCAAGCACTTTAGCTTTGTGCAGACCTTTACATTCACATTTATTTAATTTGGCCTCGATAAAAGGTCAGGGGAAATCCACAGGCCAGTATCTGCAAACCATAAAGAGTTTGAAACAAACGGACAATGCTATAAAAATTGTCCACATAAAGGTGGTAACCTTCATTGAACAAGGGGATCAGTAGGTCCCAAACAAGTTCCCTGCTTGTCCCCAGAGAGTCAGGACAGCCAGGAGGGTCCAGTTGACCATCTTTCCCCTCATATACACGAAAGGCAAATGTATATCCACTTTCGCTCTCGCACAGTTTGTAGAATTTTATGCCATACCTAGAGCGCTTTGAGGGGATGTATTGTTTGAATCCTAATCTCCCTTTATATTTCATTAACGATTCATCAATAGATACATTTTGTTGGGGAATATAAACTTCAGTAAATTTGTGCTGATGATGGTCTATCAGTGGGCATATTTTATGAAGCCTATCATATTGGGTGTGATCTCTGGGGTGACAGAGGGTATTGTCATTGAAATGTAAATATCTCAGCAGCAGCTCATATCTTGTTCTAGACATGGTTTGGGAGTACACTGGACTAGAACAGATTGGGTTGGTGCTCCAGTAAGAGCAAATTGATGGCTTCTTTATAATCCCCATGAGAATTTTAAAAGCCCAGAATCTGTTGGATGCCAAGCATGCTCCTCCCTGACTGCATAGCTATCTGGATTGGTATCAATAAATTGGGTAGCATATAAATTAGTCTGGGGAGCAATCTCCTCCCAGATGGTATCCCCTAAAAATAGCTCCATATATTGCATAGGGGAGAAGTCATCCACATTGACATTAATGCCTGTGTTGGCACTAAAAGGGGGATTTTGGGCTCGGATAACTGTGGAGAAACCCGTTCCTCCTCCACATTCGGCGTAGCAGGGGAAGCACAGCTTCTTTTAGCAGCTGGCTCACACACAGATGACATGTCACTAGACGTGTCGCTAAACTGACCTGGGTCAAAATCGGACTCAGTGTCAGTGGCGTCAGAGTCTGACGCCAAGATGGCATGCCTCCTCCAAGCTGTACATGCGCTTTCACACTAACAGACTAAACTAACAAAATACTAAACAATTTTTATATATATATATATATATATATATATATACACATATACATATACATATATTATTTTATTTTTTTTACTAAAACAGACTAAAACAGTAATCCCTAAACTAACTCCTGTTAAAAGAATCTAATGGAGATTTGGGGGAAGGAAACTGACTGACTAAAACAGACTAAGACACAGATTTTTTAAATAAAGTTAACCCTTAAGAGCAAAAAAAAATACAGACAGTACAAATACACTGTCTGTAACAGATCTGGCAGGGAATGGGGTTAAAAGGGGATTTTTATTCACTGCTGATACTTTTTAAACTCTCTGGAACACCTGTTGCAACAATATATCACGATCTCTGTCTCTCTCGCCTCACAAAACGCTACAGAGGGGAGAGAGGCAGAGATCAGTGTCAAAGTGAGTGTTTGTAACACCCACTTTGACACCAGCTAATTGTGAGCTTTCGCGGATCGCTCACATGCCGCAATTGGCTGTTACTATCTGCCTGGGATGCCGGGCAGATAGTAACAACGGGATTTCGGCGGAAGTGATCTCAGATCGCTCCCGCGCCCGTTTTCCTTTAGGACAGTTCAGGACCGTCCTCAGTCGGCAACGCAAAGATGCAGAGGACGGTCCTGAACCATTCTCGGTCCTGAGGGAGTTAAAGGGACACTATATTCATCAGAATAACTACAGCTTATTGCATTTGTTCTGGTGAGCCCTTCAGGCTTTTTGCAGTAGACACTGTCTTTTCAGAGAAAATGCAGTGTTTACATTACAGCCTAGGAACACCTCCACTGGCCACTCTTCATATGGCTACTATAGGTGCTTCCTGGGGCAGTGCTGCACACTCTGCATGGAGACATTGAACATTCCATATATATATATATATTTATATATATATATATATTATACAGCAGTACTAGATATATAATGCATTCAAAAATGGGATTCTACCCAGACATCTAATTCTCAATCAAACATGGAGATTAGAGATGTCCCGAACAGTTCCCGGCGAACATCGCATGTTCGCGTTCGCCACGGCGGGTGAACATATGTGATGTTCGGTCCGCCGCCTATTCCATATCATTGAGTTAACTTTGACAACCCCCCCACCCGCCACTGAGGGGGGTAGGTAGGGGGATAATGTTTTTTTGGGGGGGGAGGGGGTGACTAGGGGTTTGGGGACCCCTAGTCACCTGGGGGGTGGGGGGGAAAATTTTTTTAGGGCCCCCACCCGCCGCTCAGGGGTGGGGGCCGGGGGGGAGGACATTAGGTCCCCCCCCTTTTTAGTATTTAGGGCCCCCACCCGCCGCTCAGGGGTGGGGGCCGGGGGGGAGGACCTTAGGTCCCCCCCCCTTTTAGTATTTAGGGCCCCCACCCGCCGCTCAGGGGTGGGGGCCAGGGGGGAGGACCTTAGGTCCCCCTCATTATGGCCCCACCTGTCTGTGTGGCAGGGGCCGGGGAGGACAGTAGGCCTCCCCATTGTATATTAATGGCTCCCACCCAAAATAGGGGTGGGAGCCAATAGTTTTGTTTTTGTTTGTTTTTTTACAGTGAGCAGCCACTGGCTGCTCACTGCTTACTAGACATGCCCCTACTCGCTGCATAGCGAGTAGGGGCAGATCATTTACTAATACTAAGTAATCTTTACTTCGTATTAGTAAATGTGGCTGAAAGACCAATTTAGGTCTTTCAGCCTTTTAGTAGATAACTCCCTAATACCGTGGGAATTAGGGAGTTATCTACTAAGCGGCTGCAAGATGCAGCCGCGGATCGGAGTTTGCATGCCACAGTCCAGGTGTTAGTCCCCTTGAAACATCTTGTGTGTTTTAAAATTCGCCTGTCTATTGAAGTCTATGGCGGTTCGCCCGGTTCGCGGGTTCGCGAACATTTGCCGAAATTCGCTTTCGCCGTTCGCGAACCGAAAATCTTATGTTCGCGACATCACTAATGGAGATAACATTGGGTATTTGTATGCTGGCCATCTAACAGGTTAAACCCACATAGATTAGAGCGATGATGAGTCAGAACAACGTTCAGACCATATAGCAGTAAATAAATTATGCAAATTGGATGCCCGTTTATTTATACAAGAGAGTAAAAAATAACAGAAAAAAAATCCCAATAATTAAATTGCAACCATAATATAATTTAAAACTTCAGTAATCAGTAGTGAGCTTTTCTTGCAACAAGCCGGAATCTTCACGATAAAGAACAGTATGAGCTGACGAGGGGCAGGACACATAGATCTTTATAGCATGTGTGCTTAACCAGTGAGTAAGATTGGTAATGTGGCCTGGTGACGAGGCCTGGCCACATGGTTAACAATAACCATATAACCATAGATACAGGACTTGCTCTGTTTATGAACTGTACAAGCTCATAGACAGGTGGGGAGACATTAGATGTGAAGGTCCAGTTTAGATACCACAGTCTTGCACCCTTTGGTTGAGAATATTCTTTTTTCTTTTGGGAAATAATCCATGTCCTTGGCTACTTTCTCTGCCAGTGTCTCATCTTCATGCAAGCCCCTGTGTTTTAGCTCTGCCAGCACACAATTCTTTACGTGTATAAACTCCAGTGGTAGAAAGGGGACATATATATTAATCAGGTCCTTAGCAATAAGTTCACTCTGCCAAAATCCACCTGGATGGGGTAGAAGAGATATTATTAGACTGGCATCAAAAAGCAAAGGATCAGACAATGTGCAAAGTTGCAAATCTATTAGATTTCAAAAACCCAGGTTCTGCCTTTGTACAATCCAAAGTTCAACATACATATATTCAAAAATCTATACACGCAAGGGGAAACGTTCATAAGATGCTTCATCTTCAATAAAGCAGAATTGGAAATATTAGTCCAAAATTATTTAAGTGAACACACTCTGTAACACAGCTATTTTTACAGCACTGATACTTTTTCTGAAAATCTAATATGCCTTTGCAAATTTTTCACAATTCCCTCTGCTGGTGGTTCAGGAAAACGTGTACAATCATTAAATTGTTGTATCTCTGACTTGCTGCTGTTACATATTCAGGCCACTAGATTTAGGTTTTATCAGAGCCATATATATTCTATCAGTTAACCCAAGAGTCATTTATGAATAGTTTTGACCTTTTTTTTGATCTTGAGAACCAGATTAACACTTCAAGTAGAATCAGACACCCCATTGCAAATACCTTCACTGGACCATAGACTAATAAGAGAACATTGAGTAAAATGTCTATAAAATGACAGGAAGGTCAGAAATATGACTCTATATTAAATGCAGACAAATTACACCAAGAACAATGTGGAAATATTCACAAACTCTGAAACGTGAAAGGGATTCCAGGGATATTACGTGATATAAGAGAAGTCAAAGACAAAAGGGCCTACCATATCTCATGGTAGATGAAAAATGTCATTGACTCTATAAATGTGGCCTGGCTAAGAATTCTCAAACTAAAAGGAACTAAACATTTCAAATTAAGAAGGTACCTTGAGGAAAAGAAAATGTCCAAGGAAATGTCCAAGTCTATATCTGAATGTCTTGATCCAATAGACCAGGGGTAGGCACCCTTTGACACTCCAGATGTTGCAGACTACATCTCCCATAATGGACTCTCTCTGGCCTAACCCCCTTTTGGTTGGCTGCTGTGACTCGACAATGCCCAGGACTAATTTGTTTTCTAGTTCGGCCCTGACCATTTCATTGCAAGTATGAATCACTATGGCTACAAGGAAGTGTATAATTTCTGACTTAGCCACACCAATGTGGGGTTTGGACTGATTGAAGCTAGGTACCCTCATTCATTGTTAAACTACTCGAAAATTGTTTAACACTATATGGAGAAACAGTGCTAAAGGACTACAAGCACTACAACTAATTCAATAAGAATGTTTAGAGTGCCAATAGAATCCCTTTAATTTATCCAAGATCACGTTTCCTGCAGTTGGCTTGGGTGTAGTGTTATCTAAAAAGTAGAAAGAATCAAATCATTTTGTAATGTTAGCCAGGCTGTAAATTTTTGTGCCCCAAGCAGTAAGCAAATACCTAAAGGTAGAGTTAGTGCTTTTACCTTGCATGGTGCCAGCTTCATTGCTGTTGGCATAGTATAATTGTTTAAGATTCCATAAGATATTTGCAGACAAAATATCAAATTCTACTTTGCAAATACAAACACAGACGAAATTGTGGAGCTCATTATCCAAGATCACTTACTTTCATTACTGTTGAATAGTTCACTTGACAACACATGTTCAAAATCGCTATACACCAATTCTTCTCTTTTTTTCTTGTCTTTCCAAATTTCAACCATCTTACGGTTAATCAACTCTCCTCCTGCATTACTAAAGATACAATAAATAGTATCAAGAATTACAAAGACTGTACCACTATGAAGGTATCATTCAGGCTTACATTTTAAATTATACTACTTATGTTAAAGCTGTCCATGGTATATTTTAAATTCTTGTTATTTTTATTGTCGTCTTATTCTGTGTTATATGGCAAAGCATTGTTTCTCTGTTGAGTTGTCCAAGTATCTACATGGCGTGAGCGCACACTGCCTGGTCATATAACGCTGGTCAGCCATCTTCTCATTCAGTAGCTGCAAGAAGTAAGCGAGCACACACAGTACCATTCACTTCCTAGCTTACAGCTGATTTGCACAGTGGAGATGTCAAATAATATAAAATAATGTCAAATAATATTATGTAAATTTAGCATTTTAGCAGTGAGAAGTTGAGGCTTAGAAGTAACAGCTACATCATGAAGATCAAACTTCAACTAAATCCATACATTGTGTGCTTAATAAGTTCACATTCAGATAGGTATACATATTCAAGATTATATATATATAAACATATCTACACTGATCAGCCACAAAATTAAAACCACCTGCCTAATATCGTGTAGGTCCCTATTATGCTGCCAAAACAGC